TCAAGTAAAGTTGTCGAAGATTCAAATGTGTCCGACTGACCTTGCTTCCTTTCGCTAGCGCAGACAGATCTGACAGTTAACTTTGAAATGGCTTTCTTGAGTGCGCTCAGGATAAAGTTAAATATTGCTTTCTCTTAATAAATGTTATTGACGAACGGTTTTTGTAAGTCCTCCGAGCAGGGCGATTTTCCTTATATAAATATTTATTGTCTTTAAATTCCCAACACCTGAATACACAATTTTTAAAAGGACACTAATTTTACTTTTGACAATTTTATCGTTGAAATGAATGCTCCACCAGCGGCACATATACTGCATGTATTCAGATGATCAGATGACAACCGAATTATGGCACAAATTCATTTGCAGCGCCAACGCACCGGATAATGTTTCACAAATTGGTTGATAAAAGCATTTTCCCAGAAACAGGCAATGCGAACATGCTATTTGCACTTGTCCAACTTTTAACTCATCAGGAACTTTTCATTACAACTTTCAGTTTTGTCATACAACATCTGCTGAGTCGTATTCTATAGGAAAATTCATTACCTGACGAGGGAATTCCGCGTTAAGTTGCACTTAAAAACCGCGAAAGCCGATATCGCACGAATCGCGAACTATAGCATATAAAATAGCATGTTCTAACTATAGCATATGCAAATAGCATGTTCTCAACGATAAAATTGTCAATAGTAAGATTAGTGTCCTTATAAATTGTGTATTCAGGTGTTGGGAATTTAAAGACATAAATATTTATATAAGGAAAATCGCCCTGCTCGGAGGACTTACAAAAACCGTTTGCCAATAACATTTATTAAGAGAAAATCATTTTTAACTTTATCTGCTTTTTTAGTCCGTATATTCTCTTATTGTGAATTAATCGTACATCGAATCGCAGAATCGTTTTTGTGATCCAATTTGTTTTGTATTTAATTGTTATTTTAGTGATGGGAAAGGCGGCGCCATAGATAAGCCCTTTCTTCAAATATTTCTGTTTGCGCTATTGTTATGTAACAACCTTTTAAGATAATTTTCTCGGTTGTTCTCATAGAAAGTCATATTCTGATTTCGCTAGACTGTTCTTTGCAATTTTTATATTCCTAACATAATGTTCGTTATTCTGGAACTGAGGTTTGACGGTAAGAAAATTAAGGAGGAAATTGGTTTCTGTAAATGATAAAAAAGTCGAAGGAGTATGCATGAAAAGTTACACGCAGCTTAACACGATTGGTTGTCTCTGACACTTGGGATGATTGCTGTCACCTATAAAGACTGCTGTCTGGTCTTGAGAAATTGATTCTAACGCAGCTAATACTCTTAGAGGTTGTCATTAAAAAACGGAGTGTTGAGAAGAGTTATTCCCTTAACACTTCACTCATAATTAGCATGTTTTGCGGCTCGCTTTCTTGAGGCAGTTAGGAGAGGCTTGGTTCAATAGCTCAGATTTAAAGATATTGACAGAGAGCCCGAACAGGTCTGTGGAAAAGGAAAATCT